AGTAAGAAACCTGTTTTTCGGAAGTTTAAAAAACCTTCCCCTCATACCTATCCAGAGCCTATTGAGCTTTCCCTCTTGTGTCCTCCATGTTTAGTCTCTCTCTCTGTTCTCTCTTTGTCTAAATAAAGAATAAAACTGCCAGAGGTGAGCTAACTGCCCACTCTGCTGCTGGAGGTTCTCACTTCAGTGTTTTTGAGAACCTGCCAAAAGCCACTTATGTTTGCGTGTGCTGACACTGCACTAGATGTTTAAGTTCATTCAAACAGTTATTGCGTAAGTCCGCTGATGCTTGAGGATGTTCTGTGTGGTACACGATTTCGATTTGTTAAAGTGACTGTGATACCTGGATATGATCACAACTAATGAGAGTGTATTTCCTCAACGTCACAGCAGTTACTGCGACTATGTTTGTTGATAATTAGTATTTGACTTTGGCTTTTTCCTCTCACATCCCTGCAGGTTGTGGGTCCAACATCAAGCCCTCAGTGCAACAAAGAAGGCCTTTACTTCTCCGATGGCCGACGGAAAGTTGACTACGTCCTGGTCTTCCATCAGCGACGGCACAGCTCCATACGATCCCCCGCCGGCACATCAGTGTCACATGACAGATTATCTATTGTTTCCAATGGCAACTTTCGTCAGTCGGTGGGCTCGCACTCAGCTGCGGGACTAGGAGGGGAAGCACCGGGAGGAGGGAACGTTGACGAGATGGAGCTTGGATTTGCAGGAGGGAACGAGCCAACGGAGCCGGCCGACCACGAGATGCGCTTGATCAGACAAGAGTTTGAGGCCAACCTGCTGGAGGCTGGCCTGGAGATAGAGAGAGACAGAGAGGTGAGTGTGTGGTCACACTAACTGAGCACTCACAATGTGTTGCTGAAGTGGTCGACACTTGGTGCTACCACGACAAAAAACTGCGACTTCATGCAAACGTGCAGTGCTACCTGTCCACCACAGTTAGATGAACACAGGTTTCTGCTAACCAATACCAATATTTTGACATCTGATGTCGACTGTTTGCACCAATTTGATTGGCTGCTGCCTGCGCTGCCGCATGAACTCTTCTGCACACAGCACAAGCAGAGCTAAGCAATGGACCCACAATGCAATCCTGCAATGCATGAGGTCACCCCATTCCAAGTAAATGAGCAGTCTATATTCATTATAACATAATGTGTGTGAACCGATGCACCTGGCACATCAACAATTATTTCGGTCATTAAAATAGTAAAAATGGATTTGGACTCAACCAATATGTGCTTCAGTCTATGTGCTTATATTGTTATTTATTGTAAAAGTTATATTGTAATAGAGCCTTTATGTTATAGATTTATGTTTCTTTTTAAGATAAACCTTGACACAGGATCTGATGTAACTCTGTCTTGAGCTATTTAAGGTGTGCGCCTACATTGGAACCTGACTCGGATGGTAGAGGGAAGTGGTGGGTGAAATTCAGTTTGTTTTTAAGGATATAAGTTGTCTAATACACCACAGAGGATTCCTTTATGTCAAAATCCATCTTTTACTTTCCTTTTCCAATTTATGTACAGCATTTTTTGTGCCTTCCTTAATCCCCTAGCTGCTATTGACCAAATTACAGAAACATTATATAAAAAAGAAAGACCCAAAGTGTGTGTCAGCTTTAGAGCAGGTGCAATCACAGCCAAAGGTACGATAAGATGTCCACCTATGTCTTGTGTACCAGCAGTGCAGTGACGTTGCACTGTTAATATCAAAAGATTCAACAGGCAGACACATTCAGTTGAAACATATGAACAAACATTTTCTCTCAACCACGAATAAGAGAGATAAGATGATTTCTCAGTTGTCATCCACAATATGATCCAACTCCTGTTCCAATTTACTCCCAGTAGATCAGTAATATAGTGGAAATTTCCATTTTACAACCAAAATTCAGCCAACAACTGAAGTTAACACTGTGTAAATTATCGAGGTAGGAGTCTGCACTTTTTTTTAACCATGCAATGTGATGGGAGTTTATTCAAATGATCACAAAATCCATTTTTTGGATTTTAAGACAGACGGAATCTGGGCAATGCAAGATTTTAGCAACTTACAGAAAGCCTATGGGAGTGATCACTCTTAATATAACTTATTTAGGGTCTGGTATTGACATGAATTTCACTGTTTTAACTTCACTTCAGAGGCTCCGCTTTAGATTCCTGACCCCATGGGCACCTGCGGCAAGGGGTGTTACCTTAACTTAATAAATTATATGCCACCATGTAAAGGCAACTAACACAAAAAAGCTAAATTATATATAGCAAATTAAGCATATAATGTCAAGTGTGGACAAACTGTGTGAGCAAAGAAAAACATTGGATAAGACCAGATAGAGTTTACCAAACAATCAAATCTTCTTCAACAAGTGACCACAGAAGAGTTCCCGTGGAGCAAAGAACGGCAGCGTTGTGTGTCAGAAACAGCTTGTATCTAAGGGCAACACACAATTTGCAGGCCAAAGAAACAGAGAAAAAAAAAGATGAGTCATTCAGCCTTGTTCCTTCATCCACAAATGCTGGAAGAAACACAAAGGAAACCTTCAACCAACAATTGTTACAACTACCATGGATGGATCTGTACTGATGCCACACTGTAAAGACTGGTGCTTGTTGTTCATCATCAGAATAGAGCCAAGTTTATAGTGTTCCTACAGCTGAGCAAAAAAAGGTGGTTACATGAACTGTAGGAAAGTGAAACACTTCTCTAACTCCATCTCCTACAAGCATCCTTTAATCCTTATAGTCAGTCCCAGCTTTGGGATGTAATTTATATTCTCACAGGATATAATTACTTCCTTTCACTTGTCTGCATGTGAGTTGCTCTGAATATAGGCAATCAAAGCACTAGTCTTCTGCTCTGATTGCTAATCGCCACAGTGGTCTCTCCTGAATCAGTGTTGTCCAGACTCGCAGGATACCATAATACCATATTGATATTACACTGACAACAAAATTAACAGTTTAATTTATTTTCAAATATAATTGTTTTTAGCGCATTTTATTCTAAAAAATTAGCGAATACAAATAGCTGAATTTGACAGCACGCTACATCTTCAAACCAATCCATGTCAAATAAAAGCCCACGTGGATGATGACAACAGGATGTACGTAACACAGTAGTTTTTAGTCTCTTCCCTGAATTATGTGAAACCAATACCAACCAAATGTAAACAATGTAACAAAGACATGAAGCTCAGTTTGGATCGTGGTCAAGACTTTCAAACCCTATTTCCTTGTGAAGCTTCTGTTTTCTTGTGTTTAACACTGGGTTTATTTTGGATTCACCATCCAACACAAGCTGCTGTGCTGGCTTCTGTATCGATTCACTAATTTAGCCTTACATGGGTAATTTTGTTTTGACATGTACAAATCGCTTTCGCTGTGATTGTGTGTTACGTAGCAACCAGTGTGAGAGTGTGTAGTGCTGTGTCGCTTTGGTTCGATTGTGTGTGTGTGTGTGTGTGTGTGTGTGTGTGTGTGTGTGTGTGGGCTTGGCAGGATCCAGAGACTGTGTTCTCCGCAGGCTCACTTCCATTGGGTTGCACAAACGTAGTTATTGTTAAAGTTCCACTTGTTACCAAATGAACTGGTGCATTTTGGCTCCAACAACAAGAAGAATAATTTGGCAGATTTAAGTGTCGCTCACTTCAGCTGTTGGGTTTAGTGATGAGGGAAGAAATGTCTGCAGCTCAAATAAAGGATGATTGTGTTTTACCGATGGGCAGAATTGGGCTCTGGCATAAATGTGGCTGTGTGTGTGTCTCTATAGTGATGAGGGCACATTTTGGTTCAATACCATAATTGTGAGGACATTTTGGCCGGTCTTCACAAACTCAAAGAGCCGTTTGAGGTTCCTGACCTGGTTTTAGGGTAAGGGTTAGTCATTTAGTTGTGATGGTTAAGGTAAAGGGCAAGGGAATTATGACAAGTGTCCTCACAACAAGAGACTAGTGTGTGTGCATGTGTGCGTGTGTGTGTGCGTGTGTGCTGGCTATCAGCCAGTTGGCAGTGTGTGTCCCGCAGGCTAGCATTAATCAGATTGTTGACAGTGTGGCCATAGAGCCTAAACCAGGATGAGATTAGCTGACTGACTGATAGCTCCTTATCTCATCTCATGGATTGAGAGGTAGATTGAATTTTCGAACTGTATGAAGAGGAAGCGTTGCATTACCAAATCCTTTCTTTCTATATATGTAAGAGGTTGACAAACCCATCGCTGTGGAACTAGATGTGGTTGTAGAAGCTCCTGGTGAGGTGGAGGAACATTGTCTCTATGTTTGCCTCTTATACAGACACACTCTAATTTAAAGTAAATGAATTTATGTCACAGGGACAGTTCACCTGGTTCGAGTTGTTATTCCCATCCACTGCAGCCCTAATGATCACACACAGACACTCACAGACACACACACGTTTGTGGACAAGAAGAGTTTTTCTTACAAAATAACTTTAATAATAGTAATAATATAATAGTAATAATAATAACTATAATAATAATAATCACTACAGCACATTTCTAAACACAGTTACATAGTGCTTCACATTGTTGAAACAGGATTAGAATATTATGACTGAGGGAAATAGGATAAAATAAATCAAAAAGATATGATATTTAAAAGAAAACATACATTGAGAAGTGTTCAAGTGCTATTCGATTCGTTTTTACTACATAATGACTATGGACAATCATTTCTTTAAATTCAATCACACTAAACACATTGAATATGTTTATAATGCTGAAGTGTAGCTGAAAAACAAACCAACAACAATGTTTTTCTTTCTTAATGAATGGGGACAGGGTATTGAACTATTTGCCCCTGCTCATGTCCAACCTGTTTGACTTCAGATTAATTGGATGCTGCGAGAAAAAAAAGAGAAAGAAGCCTGGCTTGAATGTCAAACTTGTTGACTGTGCCTGAGGATTATTGAGCTGACCTTCGATCTCTTAGGGACGTCCTCTTACAGAACACTTTTAATTAAATCACAGGGAGATGTTAATTCAAGAAGTGGAGCTGGGACTTGAGAGGAGTTCAGTCTGTGGGGGTTTGAGAAACAGAGCGAGCAGGATTAAGTGTTTGGGTAACACTTACCTTTGCTCGACACTGAGTCCTTCTATGTCCACACAAATTGCTTGTGTGTCCCACTGCTCATGCATATTGGATTTTGTCCTGCTGGCCCTGCCTGTCACATCCTGCTTGTCCCATAGACTTTACACTATGATGAATCTCAACATAATAGGTGAAGCTCCTGACCAATATAAAACCTCCATGAAATAAAAAGTCACAACAAAAAGCTTAAACAGCTGATTTAGAGATTTCTTTTTATTATAGTGGTCTTTGAAAAAATGGCTTTTTGTTGCAAGTGGTCAGTGAGGTCAATTAAGAGCAAAGCTGAGTGACAGCGCCAAATCCAGTTCTCTTAATTCGTCCATTAGTAGAGGTGGCTGGAGTCCCAAAATGTAAAGAGACTCGAATTTATAACTGGGCAGCAAAGCATCGTACTGAAATATAATATTTTCCCAATGTCTTCTTATAATCTTAATATTCTATGTTAAAATAGTTTTATTGACTTTTTGTGTTGCATAGATGGACGGCATTTATATATAGCATTTTTCAACCACTCAAAGTTCTATACAGAACAAGTTGCATTCACCCATTCATACAGGGCTTCTATACCACCAAAATTCTTCACTTCTTGATTTATTAAATTTGCACCAGGATAGCAGCAGATTTTGCCGTTTATATGCAGTCGGCTGCTTGTGCCGACTATAGGAGCAATACTAACTGTCAGTACAGTATATCCACACTGATCCATGCATCTGACCACCTGCAGGTCTGTAGGAGACCCTCTAATGTCAGCCCCTTTCAGTAACTTCCACTTATAGCAACTAACAGCCTTTTCATGCTGCTCTTCTAATTGTCTTAAAGGGATAGTTCACCGAAAAATGAAAACTCCCGCATTATCTACTCACCACTAGGCTGATGGAGGGTGGGTGAAGTGTTTGAGTCCACAAAACACTTCAGGAGTTTCAGGCATAAACAGTATTGCAGCTGAATTCAAAACAATTGAAGTAACTGGCCATCACTTCTTTAAACATAAGAAAATAAAAATGCCTCGATACTGCTCCTTTTTTACGTTTGAAGACGTGTTCTCCATTTACTTCCTACTACTACTTGGCTACAATGCTTTTTACCTCTGAGACTCCAGAAGTGTTTCATGGACTTAAACACTTCACCCACCCCTCCATCAGCATAGTGGTGAATAGATAATGAGTGAATTTTCATATTTTTATGAACTATCCCTTTAATACTGATCCATTTAGTCTCCCTCTCACTCTGTCACTGTCCCTCTCTCTCCTTACTCTCCACCACTACACTCTCTACCTGGACATTCGATCATCCAGCCTATCACTCTCTCATACTCAGTAACCGTACTACCCACCTAAAGATGCCCCTGGCTGCGTCCTAGTTACCCTCCCACCCCCCGCTCCGATAGAGATAAAGAGATAATTGGAAATCCCACCACTAATTAACCTTCCCCAGGCTGAAAGGTATTTATATCCCCTGCTTTTTGATGGAGCACTAAGGGGAAGGGAGGGCGAGGAGGAGGAAGGAAAGGAAGGAGGAGGAAGGAGAAGGGTGCGACAGAGCTGGTGGGTAAAACATGATGATGGTGGCAGCAGGTGGAGATGAGAAGGGATGCCTCGGTCTGATTGTCAGGCTACGATCCCAATACATTAGTGAGTTTATTCACTTGACAGGTGGCATTCAAGTTAAAACAAATCAAACAAGCCCACAAGTTTGTCCCATGATCTCATAAAAATTGCATCATATTGAAGAGGGGGGTTAGAGTTCAGGTGGCCCCACAGTGTCCCTGGTGCAGGACAAAGGGCAGTGTGGATGTGCGAGTGGTGGAAGATAATGAAATATAAGAGGAGTCAGAGTGACAGTTAGTGAGTCAGCCAGTCAGTCAATCAGTCAGTGAAACAGTGACTAGCGGGTGGCAGAAGGTACAGTAATATATGTGAGGAAGGGGGGAGTGAAAGATCTCAGGAGAGTAGGAGTCGAGAGAGGAGAAAGAGAATCGTTTCAGGTTTCCCTGGTTTGCCTGTGCCGCCTTTATCATTCCACCCCCCTCCCCTCTTTTACAGAAGCTGGTGGGGGTTTGAGGAGGGTAAGGTTACCTGGCTGTTGCCTCCCGCTGCCTCTTCTCTCTTTCATTTCTGCTCACACTCACAGTGCAGGCCTGCCCTGTAATGGCTGCAGCTCCTGCATAGAATTTTACTGCTGCACAATTTCTGTTGAGTAATTTATCCACATTCAGTCACAGAGGGACACACGAGGGTTTGTCAGTGCACTAAAATCCAGAATTCAATCACATTCCTCTCACTGATAAGCGAAACCGTCAATTATCAAATGCATCTTAACATTAAAGAGTAATTAGTGTGTGGGCGCTGGACCTTGATTCATTAGCAGAGCGAGCTGGATGACTCAGTATTTGATGTTACATATAATAAATACATTTCAACAAAAATAAGGAGCCAAACGTGTGGGGAACAGGCTGCAGCAACAAAAGCAGTGAAGAAAACAGCCTGGGGCTTCGCCGTCGGACCTGAGGCTGCATCCATCTTTAATAAAGACCAGAGTGATGCTGCTGGCGAGTCTGATTAGCCAGTCTGATTCACCGGGTCAGGACAGTGGCAGGGAGTGGCTGTGCCTGGCTCGGAATGAAAGCATGACTCGCAGAGCTGAGTAATCTGAAATGTGGAGTTGCAGCTCCCAGAGGCCGACACTGAGATGTGGAGGTAAAAGCAGCAGAGAAGCAGTTGACTGCAGTGACGTGCAGCTCACACCCAGGTCTCTCCTGCTACAACACAGTGTGTCAGTTATATTGGATTGCAAAGCATCACCAACAGATGGTCTAGTGCACGGTTTTATACAGCAGGTAGTTTCAGCCAAGCAATCTGCTAAGATAATTCCCAAAACATTAAAGTTTAGTGTGCACAAATCACTTTTTAGTGGGAAACTTATAATGAGAAGGAAGGAATGTAACTGAGTGTCTTCTGTCTTATTGTGAGTCAAGAAATAAGGAAGGTCATATGACAGGGTAGACCTGCTTTGTTCTGTTTCCGGTCCTTAACATGAGGTTTTGTTTCTTTTTCATTTTAAGGCCCACGGCCCCAGCTTCACTCGTCTCCATGCACCCTGGCCAGTGCTCTGTCGAGAGGCAGAGTTTCTCAAGATTAAGGTCCCCACTAAAACGGTAAAATCAATACCCATCTGTATTAGTTTAAGTTATGTTAGTGGTGAGTCTGACATGTACACCAACAAAGCCAGGTATAGCAAGAGCGGAGGCTTACATTTCCTACGTCCGCTGGAAGCAGCTAACCAATCACAACAGCTTTATCAGGTGGGGAGGAACAGATGAGGAAAGTGTTGTCTTTTCTGAACATTACAAACAAGTAATAACAATAATTAAAATTATAATATAGTATAATATGTCTCCTTTAAGTAGAAGAGTGGGACTTCTTCATAGAGCTGCTAATTTCAATCAGACTTCCAGAACAAAGAAATTAAAACAAAGAGACAGGTAGACCAAGACTGCAAAGGATCAGGTGATGTGTATTATGAGTGGCTCACTTCATAGTAACACTGAATTTGAATTTCTCGTATCTTAAAAATCTACAATTGTGGCGAAGAGTAAGGTCCTTTGGACCCACAATAAGTGCTAATCACCTGTGTAATAAGTTGACCTATTATGATGTAATTGACTTGTTCGCTGTGTGCCTCTCCAGAGTTACGAACTTAAAGAGGAAAGTGGTTTTGGGTCCAGTATGAGCAACGTGTGGAGGAAACTGAATCAACCTTTTCAGCCCAAAGTCCCACAGCAAGACCACGGGCGCACCAAATTCCTCTCACACTGCTTCTCCAGGGACAAACTCAACATGTGAGACACACACACACACACACACACACACACACACACACACACATGCATGCATGCATGCACGCACACTAATAGACAAGCAGAATTAAGTGGCTAATGTTAGATTAAAATAGATATGTTTAACTGTTGTTACATAGTCATTGTGCTGACTTCATGATAAATTTAAACTTGTGCTCCTGATACACCTTACTAAGCATTTATTATATTATACATATACATATTATAGTTATCTCATGGTAGTGTCATAAAACATTTCAAGATTAACTGCACTTTCAACACACTTTTATGCATGAAGTGAAATGAACCAAATTCAATGTCTGGTTAATTGTTGTTTCTGTAGTGTGTCATCAATTTAAAATACACTATGAAGTGCTTATTAAAGAAGTGCTTCTGGGTGACATGCACAGACCACACTCAGTATGGCAGCGCTCTCCTTATTTCATCATTTTGCAAGAGATCATGTTCAATGCGGGGGATAATGCTTTCCAGAAGCAAGTAGCAAGAATCTTATCTGATATATACCATGCCTTCCAAATATTATTTTATTGAATGATGACTCTGCTCTTATCAAGCCATCAAAACAACAACAACCTTGCCCTGTGGAATATCTGCAGGGAAACGAATGGTAGTGATGAGATGGGAATGTCTGCATGGTCACTGGCTTTCAGCATTTCACAATGGTTTTTCTTTAGAATTATCAACAGGAAGAATATACAGAGCACGAAGGCTGAGGCAACAGATGCTACCTCTCCATATGGACAAAGTGAAATCACAACTATAATTTACAGTTACAGCATATCCGAACATCATGTGTATGAGATATATACCAATGAGAATGTGTACATGTGTATCTACCCCCCCTTCTTTAAATTCAATTCTATTGTTATGTGTATTTATTTGGTTTACAAGTTATCTGTAGTTCCTGTTGGGATTTGAATTTGGGGGTAAAGAGGGCCCAAAGTAAAATGTACAAGCACTTTAAATAAATGTTTGGATAATAATGTATAGGGTGCTTTTAGAGCCTCAAATCCCAGTGTAGTGTTTGCACTGAACAGCTGTTGGTTGTATTTCTTTCAGGTACAACATCACATCTAAAGACACGTTCTTTGACAATGCAACGAGGGGCCGAGTTGTAAGTGGGCATTTATATTTTCATCTGTTTCTCCAATGCGATATTATGGTTCAGAATTGGTTTATATCTTAACATTGTCACATCATTCTCAGGTGTACGAGATCCTGAGACGAACAGTGTGTGTACGAACCTGTCAAACCATAGGTGAGGACATCTAACAGTCCATAGACATTGTGTGTGTGTGGGAGGACTTTACTGATAAATCATTTTCCAGCCTTTTATTCTTCACATTTATCTGAACACTTTGAGCTCGTCCATAACTACATGAGTGACATCCGTTGGACTGCGTGCCACAGGCATAAATATTTGAGAGAGGTCAATGACTTTTCCATTATGTTTTTAAATATGGTGATAATCAATGGCTTTAGTCATGACTTTAGACAGTGACCAATCCCTCTCTGAACCCTCCCATCCCCTTGAAGTGTGGCTGACTGTAACTGCTGTGTAAAAATAGCAGGGGTCAAAGAAGAATCGACTGAAGAAGTCTTGAATAGCAGCATTAAAACGCTTGTTGGCAGTCGGCTGCTTTGGCCTAATAAAAGGCTTCATGAGCCTTTGTATTGGATGTGTCGGAGAATTAGAAATCCAGTAAGTGTTGAGAGGATCATGAACCTTGATTGCTTTGGGTGTTTCCAAAACATGTTAAAAAGTAAAATCCCAGCAACCCAGTGGCTAATATAATTAACATGTGGTTATTCCCTGCTGTGACATTGTAAAAATCGTATTTATTGCCCTTTAAGGATGAGATGAGAAAGTAAAAGTGAATGTAGTGTTGAGTTTGAGTCACATCCTTTCTGAAAGTGCTGTCCAAAGTACATCAGTTGCTGTTGAAAATGTCACTCAATACAACTAGAATTTCATTCAGTAGAGTTCATACCTCCACCAAGGCCCAACAGTCTTCTTATGAAACTTTTAAATTTACTAGATCTAGATTTTTATTTGGATCTGCACCAAATTGCTCACACTTATAAATATGAGTCCCACAAACATGCCAGATTTTTGTTCATCTAGATCCATGAACTCATCTGAGAAATGTAGAAAAATGGCCCATAATTGGAAAACTAATTATGCATACACCCCCAGATCTGTGTCTGCACCAAAATGTAGCCATTTATTTGATACCTAGGGCACATCCACACAAAGTCAGTTTAACCTGGGCCACACAAAGCAAATTGTTTCAAACTTGAGCCTTTGAAAAATATGCCCCGCAAAATTTCAGCGGATCGGTTGAGTAGTTTTTGTGCAATCCTTCTAACTTGAATAAAAAACCAAACAAGCACAAACAAAATCCCAACTCCCTTGGCTTAAGTCATTTGATTTATTTTGGGTAGGCTACTGCAGGTGAGCCAGGAGAAGATATTGACACCTGCTGGGAGTTCAGGGGTGAGGTGAAATGTAGTAAAGTGGAGTTCAGCTGGTGACCCAAACAAGGAGCGCAGTGATTCGATAATTGGATGAGGCGAGCACCCTTTTAACTCCAATTTGTTATGTGACCTTGTTTCCATTTGGCGGTTCCTAGAAATTCTCACAGAAACCAATTAAAAGTCCACCATGACCTCAGTTGTGGTGTCAGTTGTGGTGTCAGTTGTGGTGTCAGTTGTGGTGACATAGACATGCTACTGTGTCTGTGACAGACTAATGAAGTTCCTTTTTTTGTAAATGAACTGCAAGTCATCCAGCCGACTGTGCATGAAAAATAGGAGCTTTCTCTTACAGCGTTTATTTATCTGTACATTTCTTGACGCACCACAGCTGCTTCTGCTTTTATGATGCCCACCGGCCGCATATAGAGACGAGCTGACACCCAGTTCATTTCTAGAATCCACCATATGTCTAGTTGGCTCACCAATCATAGCAGAAGGTCTCAGCCAGCGGGTGCTGATGGAGCTGCAGGGGAGGCAGGCGACACAAGATAGAGTTGCATCTCTTTAACCTCTTTTTTCTTCTCCCCCTTTACATTTGGTGTCTCTCTATCTAACAAACACACACACGCATGTCTCTCTAAAGTTGTGTAGACACTCATCGGCATAATGCATTCCCTAGCCCCTTACCCTAACCTTAACCATCACAGCTCAATGCCTAACCCTAATTACCCTATCCCTAACCCAACCCTAATTCTAACTCTAACCCTAAAATCAAGTTAACCTTCAAACAGCCCAATGACACAGAGTCTGGATTCCTTGTGTCTCTGTTACTCGCCTCCATCTCCCGTACAAGTGGGTCACACTTCCTGGGTCAGGCTGAGACTGAAGCTGGGGCCTCTGAGAGTTGTGGTTGTTTCTAACCGGTCGAGGGAGCGTCCGTGCACTTGTATGTGCATGTGTGAGTCTGAGGTTGATGTTCATTAATAGCACATGAAATCACTGCACAGTTCCCAGTCCCGCTAATAATTAATTGATTCATTACTTTGATGAAAGATCGAGTTGTGTGTGCCAAGTCATCTGATGTGTCGATGTCTGCGCTGCCCTTCACAGGTCAGGACATCAGTTCCCTCATGATATTTTCCAAAGACTAAAAGTGGCACCTGAACTAGTCCCAGTCTTCCTGACACTGAAATGTAACCTCCATCGACCTGTATAAATAGAAAAATTAATAAATAAAGACATCGTCATCAGGAAGATTCACATTCAAATCCACTGAGTGGAAATGTCTTTAAAAGAATACAGGTGTAATGAAAACTATCAGAGGGCCGATGCATTAACCTGCTTTTCATATCGTAACATTATCATTTGATTATGATATAATTTATAACAAATTGTTATGAATGATTGGTTTATCTCTGTAAATTGTAGACAATGTCTCTAATCTTATTGGTTAAGGTTAATGCATAACTACATGACTTCATATTGAGTTCATGATCATTCATTTTTTGTTGATCTATAAAGGTTTTAGGTCATAACTCTACTTGAAACACTAACTAATGCATTTGTTTTCATCATTTCCTGATTTCATTGTGACTTTATTATGACGTCGCTCATCATATGATGAATATATGATCATATTATCTGAAGTTATCTTCTGTTTCTGCACCATGGTTTTTGTTGACCTTGACCATCAGCTCCATTAGTTGATCATCTGGTAATAATCCACCTAGGTATTCTCTCTCTCTCTCTGTCTCTCTCTCACTCACTCTCTGTCTCTCTCTCTCTCACTCTCACACACACACACAGGCAAAAACAATATCCTGCTTCCAGCACAGGGTAAATATCTTCATATCTTCCTCCCAGAGGAAAGGGTTCATGATCCACATATTGGGTACATGAGAGATTTGTTGATTACTTGGATGACGGAGCAGGAGGAGAAAAACACCTGAGGGAAGTTCTAATGCTCTCTGGGTGTTTTCTTTCAACCATGCTCTCTTTTTTTCCAGGCATCAGCACATTGATAGCTAAAGGCGTGTATGATGCTGCCTTCCCTCTTCACGACGTAAGTGTGAGCTTTGAAATTCCCACAAGATGACACTTCGTTTTAGTTTCTGTCACAACAAGACTCCTTTTCTCTGAATAGTCCCAACTTCATGGGGAATATTATATCGATTTTCAGTTCCCTCTTTTAAATATGGTTTTGAGTTTTTGCAGTTTCCTCTGAAATAAACTGAAACCGATGAATTGGAAAAATATATATTTTTAAATCACCAGTTTATCTTCGGGACATTTTTTGTACATTTGAGTTTTCATACATCTTCTGTAACTGTTTGTGCTGCATGCCTGTTTTGTATTCTAATGAAAGTTTGTGTTTCCTCAGGGTGACTACACGGTCGTCGAACAGGATGAGGAGAGGAATGACAGACAGGTACATCGCCTCCTCTGTCTTTACTGTTCCTTCTTCCCCCTTCTCCCTCCTCAACATTCATCTTTAAAAGAAAACCTACATACCAATTGGAACTATCGAGTAACACATTAGCCTGGTGTAGTGCTTCAGAAGGTGTTCTGATAATGTGAAACAGTGCTAGAGCCACTCTTGGTGTTGTAAGAGAAACATTTTAAATATCTAACAGCTAAAAAAAAGGGAAACTCTACTTTCCTTTTTTCTTTCTCAGACTGTTCCTCCTTCCCATCTGCCTAACCAAGTCACAGATTGAGGTTTAAGTTGAATAAACATCACTCTGAGGCAGACCTGCTGCTCTGAGGACGGAAAAATACAAAGTCATTGCCTGTGTGGCTCTGATTTTGAGAAAAACAAAGATAAACAAAGACATCTGCTCGAAATATGAATTAAAATTTGAAACAGCAACTTCTTCTTTATCCATTATAATTGCAATAATGATTTGGACTGTACATATTTTATTGTGGCTCCATTATATTCTTTCAGCATCAGCAGTTCCAAGGCAAAGCAGATGAATTAACAGAGGTGTGGAATCACATGAACATATAAGACATTATAATATTTTCTCTGGCTTCATCCACTTTAAGGTTTAACTCAAGCGATCTGCCTCCACATCGACTCTGCCCCTGAGGATCGTTGGTTGATTTTCATCTTTCTACACGACGCCACACTGACTAAGTCTTTCTCTTCTGTCTGTTGTCAGGTCCTGCATGAGGAGTGGGCCAGATACTCAGCCTTCTACAAGTACCAGCCCATTGATCTTGTCAGGTAACTATGAAATATAGAATATGGGGCCTCTCATAAAATAACAGTGGTTTCTGTTGCTCACTAACATATTCAACATTACTCACATGTCATTTACCAGCTCAGTGCATCACAGCATGAAAATAAACATCCAAACATTTGTATTAATACAAAAATTCCTCTGCTTTTTGGCGCAACTCGTATATCAAGTTTAGGATTTAGTCTTATTATAGTTTTAGTTTTATTCTTCGGGCATTTACAACAGCTTTTAACATATGGGCATGAAAGAACTTCTTCACTCGCTTTATGTTTTGTAGCTTGCAGTCTTCTTCTTCACTACCTTCATCGGCATATCTCTGCATTTCTTGGAGGTGCCCGTGGTTTGGTTAAATAGTGTAAACCCATGTATTACCCATGAGAGCAAAAAGAGGGAGCCACTCATGAAAGAACTGTTCCGACTAGGTCCCCAGGGAGCATGTAATGAGAAGCACCCTCTGGGATTAATAGTAGACAAGGGAAAGACCGTGAGCGTCCACGTTATCTGACGACTCAAGAGGTTTGTGTAACAGTTGGCTGCTGATGATCTTTGAGCAACTTTCTTTGACATTACTTTCTTCATATTTGCTTGATGGTAAGAAACTAATCTTTAATTTATCTCTGGGTAGGTTTAGAGTTCATGTTTGGGGCTTTGGTCTGTTAATAGTACTAAAAGAACTAAAGATGATGAATGGATCTCTAAATCAAGCATCAGCAGTGTTCTGATTCTATTCCAGGATCAAATAGAGCATTAGGAGATTTACACCTGCGTTATGTGTTTCTTAATACTTTACAGTCTGCTCTACCATGACCGGGAATTACACTGTCACTTTTACCCCTTAATCCTCGACCTCTGACCCCACAGGAAGTACTTCGGGGAGAAGATCGGCCTCTACTTCGCATGGCTCGGAGTTTACACTCAGCTGCTCATACCAGCCTCCATCGTGGGGATCATTGTGTTTGGCTACGGGGTGGCAACAGTGGATACTAACATACCCAGGTCTGTGTCCTTTGTGTACACACTCACACATAGACACGCTTTAAATCCAATCAGTTTTATTGCAAACTGTAGAGCAGCTTCAGTTTAAAAAAAACCAAAAAAAAAACCACATTTCACTTACGAAATAATGTGTAATAATTTATTGTGTGATAAAGGCAAAATACCAAGACTTCCCACCACCATGTTAATGTATGCACACACGCCCATGCACACACTAAACAGGGATTGCCCAGATACCTGCTGTATCTGGCTGTAGTCGGAGTTGTGTGGGAGGAACACAGAAGGTACAGCTGGCAGTGTGTGTTTGTGTGTGTGTGTGTGTGTCCTGAAGCAAACGGTTGATAATTTAGCAGTTGCTGTGAATACTATGAGGGTTGCATTGTGGTCATGGGTTAAAAGTTCCATTCATTTCTAATAGTAAAATGTAACAGACACAAGGATCTTTTTAGATTTCACGTACCGTCAGTTCTTAAATACCATGGCATTAAAGGGGTAACATCCAGGTGCACTGTGACTGAAGGTTTTTCTCCCCCCCTCAGCCTGGAGATGTGCGATGAGCGTCTCAATTTCACCATGTGTCCTCTGTGTGACGGAGCCTGTGACTTCTGGCAGCTCAGCACCGCCTGCGGCACTGCCCGAGCGTCGCACCTCTTCGACAACCCCGCCACAGTCTTCTTCGCCATCTTCATGTCTCTGTGGGGTGAGGGTTTATTATCGTGTGTGTGTGTGTGTGTTGCTCATTCATTCCTGAGTACCTCCATCACCTAAAGAGCAAGTTGTGCTGAGAGCAACAGGCTAAATCAACATGAGTTTAAGGGAGAAAATAATTAACATGTTTTGCCTTTTTATATTCACTCAGTCAAGGAGATTAAGGTTTTTATAAATTGGCCAGAGCTGCATCTCATTGCAGGAAGAAACATCCTGCTTCAAATATGTTCATATAATGTTCCTCCTTTATAAAGGAGGGCAGGTCATTAAAACAGAAAGCACTGAAGCTGTGGTGGAGTGGATTTTTAAAGATAGATTTTCAGCACCTTTTACAGTCAGTAGAGGAGATAGACGTCAGAATGGCTTGACATTTGAAATCACTCTGCTGAAGGAGAACAGTTTCTCTGTGCTTCTCTTAAATCTAACATCAGGTGAAGACGTGTGTGTGTGTGTGTGTGTGTGAGAGAGAGACATCATAACTAATATAAAGCCTGTTATAGTCCTCCTACACAATGTGTGCAAGTGCGATACAACAATTACATTTTGTGTCCACTAGTTAAACATTTAAAATGAACATTTAAATATTTACAAGTTTGTTTGTTTTTCAATGAGGAAGTTGGAGTATTTGCAACTTTATGAATATTTATCAATAAGTTGTTGTGGTGTTTTGTGGAAAGGAAGCTTTCCATGCAGTGAATTACATGCTCTCAGAACATGAATGGGGTCTGTATCTGAAGATAATACTAATACTAGAAATAACTATTTTATATTTGTGTGTTTGTGTGTATGTGTGTGTTTAGCTGTGTTGTTCCTGGAGCACTGGAAGCGTCGTCAGATCAGTTTGAGCTTCAGCTGGGATCTGACAGGCATCGAGGAGGACGAGGTATGCGCTGTAGACACACACGTGTGGACACGCACACACACACACACTCACACAGACACAGAGGTGACGTTGACATTAACACACACATGTGGACACTATTCATACATTTATCTCCCTTTCTGGTTTTCCCATCAGGAACATCCAAGGCCAAGATACGAGACCATCCTTCTCAAGAAGAGACAGAGGAAGCAGAAAAACAAGAAACAGAAGAAAAAAAAGAGTGAGGTAGGAGAGATCAACAAACGCCATCATTGAAGTGCTAAGAACTACGTTTCATTAGATAAAATCCTTCAGTCATGATTTTTACATAACGAAATGCCCAGTTTGCGTCATTAAATATGAAGAAAATATTGATTCTACTCTCCGAGCTCGATCTGACTGTCAACAGTACTAATGGAGAGATGTTGTACAGCAATACACGTACAGTATTACTTCATGAGAGCAATGATTACACTTGACATCATGATGTCTCATTATTACGTAAGTGTAAGCTTATTGAGATTACACGACACTGTATATTTACTATGTAAAAAAATGTCATCGGTTGATGATGAAACCTTTTCCCTCAGTCTTCCCTGTTGATTCCCGATGATCCTGATCAGAGTTTTTGATGACAGACATTAACAGGCATTAGTGTGGTAATATAGTGACTGGGAATGATCTAGATTCCTACTGTAAATTGGGTCAATCACATTGAGTCCTGTTGGCCCACATACACTTTGCTGTGGTGACAGATGGCTGCCTGCCACAGCCTGAGTGAGAAAACTAACTCACATGGTGCAGGATCAGTGCTGCACCATCTGGAAACCTGATGTGGGTTAAAAAGTGATCCTACAGGTGTTTTTATTCAGTTGTGGACACAAGTGAACATATGCCATGGTTGTGTTTGAAGAAAAGCAGCTATTGGTTCTCCCACAGGGGATTTAAAAAGTTGATATGCACGATATACAGTTATGGCAGAACCACTGAGAATCATCTCATCTGATTTGCTTCACGTTGGGTGCTTCTTCCTCCTCCATGTTATCTGCCTCAGTCACAGACTGTGAATATGTTGGGTTAAAGCTCAGACATGTAATGTTCACTCACATGACAAGGCCAGTCATGGAATGAAGAGTGGGCTGTGGTGATGGACTGCACACAAACAGAAACGTTTGCTTTTTATACATTAAACATATATGCTTGTTTTATATATAAGGTTTTGCATGGGCTTGGTCCATCTCCTTTAAATGAATTCATTAGACACAAGTCCCTATTGAATAAATAAATTAATAAACATGTCTCTATAGGCGGCTGTAATTTAGGGCTCTTCATGCCTGCCTTGTTTGGTCCGCACTCTTGGATGCTTCAGTTTAATCTGAACCAAAATAACAGATGTGAAAAGTGATTTGAACCATAGTCCAGACCTATGAACAAAGTTAAGTCTGACTGAAAGAGGTGCACTCACTCCGGATCAAACAGAACCATAGTCCAGGTTGTTTGCAGCATGAGACGGCATAAAACAGTGGAAGATGGAAAAAAAGTCCTAATGGTCTCCAAAGGAATGGAGTTGCCCAGACTCACAGGGTTTCTTTCAGTTTTCCCCTCTGGTGATGTTTGAATGATGAAGACGTTCAGCGCTGAGTAATGTGCCCACAGTTGGTGATGCTGTTAGTAATACCATGACAATATTACATTGGCAGGGAAATTATCATGAACTGGTACTGTTTTTGTACGTTTATGCGTCAATGTCTGTACCTGTGTGTATGTGTGTGTGCCTGTGTGTGTGTGTGTGTGTGTGTGTGTGTGT